AAAGTCCCTGTAGCAGATACAGCCACCTGGGGAAAAGGGGTGTAAGTTCTTATCTACACTTAAGAATCCTGGTTTAAGCTTCTCTTTGTCTGTAGGGGATAGAGTGGGGGGTTTTACTGAGGTATCACAAAACAATGTATCAGTGTTAAATATCCTAATATGGCTAACTATGCTATGACTGTGTGAGAAATACCATTGCTCTTAAGAACTGATTATTAAAATCCAAATCTGTGACATACTCTTGAACAATCCAGAAAAGGAAGAGATTCAAGGGATTGAGACAATGGGCAAAATGTGATGAAAACAGGATTTTTTCCTATTGTTCTTAGGATGTTTCTAGAAGTTTAAGCTTATATCAAGATAAATATTACACAAGTATACATTCTTTTCTTATTACCTTTTCTTGGAAAAAAGAATTCTCATTTATTTCAGTTAATCTAGGGCTCATTTCACTTAATGAAAAAAGTATTTCACATAATGAAAGCTTTCTGCATGCTTTTCTAAAATATTTAAATTAGAATTACCAGAAGAATTCATGTGGATCATAAAAAGTAAAATAACAAGGAGAAGCTTTCCCCACTTAGTGTCATCTTAAATTTTAACCAATTCTAGTTCTGTTGGAAGTTTTTATAGTGGTGAGTAATATGTTATTTTCTATTTTGGCTTATTCATTCGAAGAGTATATTTTAATATATAATTTATTTATATTTTATGTGCATTGGTGGATTGCCTGCATGTATGTCTGTGTAAGAGTGTCAGAAGCCTTGGAACTGCAGTTAGAGACAGGTTTGAGCTGCCAAGTGGGTGCTGGGAATTGAACTTGCATCCTCTGGAAGAGCAGCTAGTACTTTTAACTTCTGAACCATCTCTCTAGCCTCAGGTCAATTAGTATTTAAAGACTGTCTTCGGTTGTAGAATGAGAACCAGCACATACAATTTCTCTCTCTTCCAACTTAATTGTGGCATCATTTTGTTCTATTAGTAATTATTATTATCATTTTATTTTCTAATCTTTTAATAACACATTTAATACAAGGCATTTATTCACTTTTTACCTTGTTTAGCTCTGTCTCTTCCTAGGTTACATGGCCTCAGGGATGGGCAGGAGATGGTCCAGGGCCTTAGGGATGCCCTGGGGGTGGTCTAGTACTGACCAGGAGTTTTGTGGGGTTTTTTTGTTTGTTTGTTTGTTTTTAAATCACTGAGTTTGGGATTGCTGCATTTTGGAATAAGTCTATTTTTTATAGTTGTCAGCCTAATTGTCTTTGTGAATAAGTGTAGATATATGTGGTGTGTGTGTGTGTGTGTGTGTGTGTGTGTGTGTGTGTGTGTGTGTGTTTGTGTGTGTATGTATGTATGTATTTAAAAGATGAAAGAAAGGATATTATTTCTTACATCTATTGATTACTTAGAATTCATTTCTTTTGAAGAATGCTGGTCTTTTCCTTTTTCTTTTTATGTTGCCTTTTCAACAATATCAAATGCTTCCTAACTTAGAGAAAAGAAGTTTCAATGAATGTTATTTTTTTTTCTATGACATCGAGTATGTCTGGATGTCTTCCCTAAAGTTGAGGCTCTGCGCTTTGTCCCTTGTTACACTGCTGTGGAGAGAAGATGGGAAGACCTTATAGAACTACCCTGTGATGTTTTTATCATTCCATGGGTTCTAATCACCATTTCTGTTCATTTATTCATTTCAGGTTTTTCAGACAAGGTGGATGTGTATCCCAGTTGGCCATGATTTTCCTGGTACCTGACCATTGTGATGACAGGTACACAACACTGTGCCATGTCCCCCACCCCCAGTAGCATCATTTGTAATTACTATGGGCTCAGTACTGATTTTGATCATTCTTCATAGTGTCTTGCTTGACTCTTGAGGGTACAGTCAACCTCTTCAAAGTGTATGAATTAAATTTTTGTTTACATATTGTGGTGTTTCACTTAATTTCTTCTGTGGCCTCTGCTTGCTCTTTGTCATATCACATTGTTTCTTCAATTATGTGACTGTTCTTGATAGATTATCATGTCCCTAATGATAAATAACAGGAAGATGGTACACATGTGTGAGCTGTGAGGAAGTGAGACACTATATTGGAAAATCCCCACTGCCCCAATCTAGCAACATATACTAGTTAGTACAGTTTTCCTTTAGTCTTTTGTCCATTCTTTAAGGTACTCCTTTCCCTCAAGTTATCAAATTGTAAAGAAACTCTGACTACCAGACACTTTAAATATTGGTAAGAAACCAAAAGATGAGGTAAAGTTCACATGCACACATTCATATTCTCATTTCAGTTGTTCTTTCACTAAATCATTGCGATGTATGCTGATAGTCTGAATTTCCTTCTTGAGTTTTGTTCTATATACTCAGTGTGCTAGGGAATACTGTAGTTAGCAAACTATAAACTTTGTACTCTTTGGAAGGTTGTTTTCTTCTGCAAAGCAGGGATTGAACAGAATCAAACATAAACACATAACTGTGCTGAGTAGGATGCAAGAGCTAAAGCATTGTAGGAAGATTCAAAAGGAGGGTTTTGAAGAAAAGGGGAGTGAGAGTTACTGTGTCTCTCTGCTCATTCAGAAATTCCCCTTTGACAGAGTGGATTTAAACAGAGGTTTGAACACAATGAGATAGAAGACAGGGAGATGCTAAGGAGAGGCAGGAGGATCAGGAGTGTGAGACAAGATGGGGTTCATCATAAAGACATTCTTGGTACAGTGTGCTCTTGCCTTGGGGGTCTCTCTGGAGTATCTAAGCTGCTGTTTCCACACAAGACTGACTGAATGCATTCTAGAAGGTGGCTGTTATGGTTCAATGTCATCGGATATTGTTCACCTGCTTACCTTTGCTTCAGAACTGTTCTGATATTTTCTAGTTTACTCACACCTCACACCTTCTTCTTCATTGCTCTAGAACTGTGCATTTTCAAAATGTTAATATTAATGATTCGTCAGTAGAGACCTCATATGAGTGGATGCAGGTTGCCAACCTGAACTCAAAACAAAACAAAACACTTTTGAAATTATCTTTCAAACCTTCCTTTAAGCAAGAGTACAAAGCAAGAATGATGGGACTTTTTCATAGATCCTAAGCAAGCCTCAGGGCACTGATGGCTTTTGAGAGTGAGAGATGAATGCTAAGACGAGCATCTGTGAACCACTGTGCTTTCTTTCATATCAACAGAAGAACAACAGAGCAGGGTTAGCATACATTACCATCACAGATCTACACAGCACATAAGCAACAAAACAGAGGATGAAAAACAACTCATACTTTACTTTTCTAGTGCAATTAACTCAATGTGAGGCCTTATGCATTGAATTTTATTCTTCTTCAACACCCCATAGCTAAATATCAAATAATCACATGTAATAAATAAATGCAAATACAATTAACTTAAATTCTAAAACTATGAGGCTTTGTCGGGCTACTTGCCCTTCTGAAGCAGTTGCCAAGAGTTTATCCAAGTAAATGTTAAGTTAAAATAAAGGAGAAGAAAACACTGTATACAACTGTGATATTGTGAATCAATGAGCTATAAATATTTTCCCAGAAAAATCAGCAGATTATCGAGTATTATATTTGTGAATTATTAAATTCCTTCTGATAGTCACATGGGACTCAGTAGTTTGACATGTTTGTGCACATTTACTGAAGGAACAGAAATGTAAACTGAGCTTTCATCAGGCTCCTGACCCTGGAACTTACAGCGTGTTTTTATAGTGTATCCTACATCCTACACTCTGGCAAAGTGTGCTTGCTGTTGCCCTAGAATTACAGAGATAGACAGTGACAAAACTCTCAACAAAGTGTACATTATGCAAAAGTGACTAGCACTCAGAAATGTAAATAGAGGAGAAGAGGAAGCAATGATGTTTTCTAAAAGTGGAAAAAGACTTTTGGTTTATTCTAGCTGCCAGTTCTACTATTGCATCAATAGAGCCTGGCTCATTAGGTGGAAAAGACTCCCAACTAAATAAATGCATTAGAATGTAGCATGTTTGATTGGATACTACACACATGTATCATTACAGTATCTTATTATTTTAAGGTGACGCTGCGCACTTTACATTTGGTTCATGATGTTTGTAGAGAGAGCATCTCAATAATTTCAGCTTTGAGCTTACTTAGTGTTTTAACCATAACATGGTTATGGATAAAAGAGGCATTTGACACGCATGGAAATTATTGAAGAGTATATCAATTTTAAGTATCAAAATATATGCAGTGTTTGAGTTTACACAAAGGCATTCCCTTTTAATTGTAACCAATTAGGGATGCTACTATGCTGTGGTTCTCTTGAAGCAGCTGATGCTGATGCTGATTTGATGCAGTCCCAAAGCCTGTAGAGCCGCCTGCAGTACAGTGAAGCATATTCTATTCATCTGAGTTTCTTGTTAAAATATGAGAAAGTGGGCATTTTTATTTGCTATAAAAAGCCACCAGAATAAGACTAAATAAACAAGAATACTATTTATGGTAAGAGGAATAGACTGATACCTGAGTTACCCATTAAAGCACATTCTGGGAAAAAGTCATGATTGATACCAGGGAGTCACTCATTCAGAGGTTGATTTGAGTATGATGAGAAGAAAAATACATATTTATATATAATAAGATATATACAGTTGTATATAGCATGAATCTTAGAGAGTCTCATTAATAAAATCAAACCCGGGGCCAGTTATTGGGGTGAAATGCTGGATGGTCAGAGAGACAGAACAAGCCACAGCTAACCTCACCTGGCCAACTTCTCAGCTGGTCCTGTTTCCTCAGACTGGAAGCTTCTGTGTCCTCATCCAGAATGGGTCTCAGATGAATTGCTGCTCGAAAGCCTGAAGCTTAACCAGCCAAATGCTTAACCAGCCAAATGCTTTTAGTTTCTGGTCCTCACGCCCTATATACCTTTCTGCTTTCTACCACCACTCCCTGGGATTAAAGCCTTGTTTTCTGGGATTAAAGGCATGATGAGTCACCATGCCTGGCTGTATCCTTGAACATATGGATTTCTGCCTCTGGAATGCTAGGATTAAAGGCATGTGCTACCACTGCCTATCCTTTATGTTTAATATTGTGGCTGCTCTGTCTCTGAGCCCAAATAAGTTTATTAGCATGCACAATATTTGGGGGAATACAATACCACAGTTATATATGTATATCTATATATAATTTATAATGTATATATTTATGTAATTATATAATTATGTACTGTATGTTATATGAAAATTTTATATATAATATAAAATACATATATAAAATTTTCCTGCATAATTATCTTCCTCCCCCAATCTCCTTCATTCCTCATGACTCTTTTTTACTGCTCCTCTGCTTTTCCCCAAATAGGCTCCTCCTTTTTCATGACAGGCATATTCTATTATTCTTTTCTCTTGTCTTCCTCTTCCCTTTCTCTTCTTCTCTTAATTTCTCTCTTCTCTTTTGATGATATGCACACACAGAGAAACAAATTTTAATCCAGAGTCTATATACAAGAGAAGAAAAATGGTATTTGCCTTTCTGCATCTTACTTATTTTTCCTAATGTATTGATGCCCAGTTGCATTATATTTTCTAGAAAATGTAACAATTTCATTTTTTCCCTGAGAGATGAAAAGTGTGATCTAATATTTAAGCCATTTACCTAATCAAGTCAATACAATCAATCCTACGGTAGCCCAACACAAACTCAGGGACATTAAACACTAATCCTTGCCAGAACTCCCTCTCCCAGGAACTAAAGGTCTCAGTTCACTTGCCGATATAGATATATCTAAATATTCCAGAAGAGAGAAAATTGAAGTATTATAACTCTTCAAAATATGAAAAAATGAAAACCCTAAAATGTACAAAATTGTCCCCATGATTTTCTGTCTGTACTCCAGGCTAAATTTGTTCTTCCCAGACTTCTACATAAGTAGAGTTCTTCTGTGTGCATCCTTTGTGTCTAGTGTCTGCTACTCTGCATAATGCTTTAGAGACGAAGCAAAGGTTCTTTTATTCATGAGATTGGTGATTGTGTTTTACCTTTCTATTTTGATCCTGTAGATTAGCCTACAAAGAGGACTTCTTTCTTTCCTTGATTTTTTTTTTAAATATGATTTCCTTTATTCCTGTCTTACACTTAAATTGGTTTAATTATCTCATCTAGGGCTCCTGAAATGGAGTCTAGATCATTGATGTGAAATAGTTATTCTATTTTAGGGCAGCATTTAAAGCTTTACATTTCCCTATTACTACTTTATCTGTGTTCCATAATTTCTATCTGTGGATTGCCATCTTAATTTGAACTGAAATCTAACCATCTCAGATTCTTATGAAAGTTGTATGTTTTTATGTCCTTTTGCCTTAATTTCTCTGCACTTCCATATTTTACATGGATTTCTCACAGCATTTTCACTTGATTATGTTTGTGTATCTTTTATTTAATATAATTGATTCTGTTAGTTTTACATCTAACTTATTCCTGTTTTTCTTATTTTTTCTTTTACTTGTCTTGCAGTACATCAATTTTTATTATTTTACATGATGGACACTATTGATTACTAATGATCTTCACCTCAGTGTTTTAATGCTCTCTTTCTTATTAGGCACCTTTCACTCATTACAATAGGAGATGGTATTTTGTAGTCTTGTGTAGGGAAGACTATTTCAGTTACCCAACAGTTTACCACTTTTAATGATGCAGATAGGGCAAAACAGAGCTCAGTTTAGATGGGATAGTTAATGGCAGGTGATCAGCATACATGCAAATGGTCAGCAGGAAATGAAGGTTCATTACTGAAAGACTGGGAGAAAGACTACGTGCTAAGCTACATTAGTGGATAGTAATTTACAAATAAAAAGGACAAAGTACTCACATTTCCCTATTTATGTCTCAGGCATTAGTGGCCATTGAAAGTAGTTGAAGATGCAATGACTTAATTTATACATCTAAAAACATTACAATATTAAGTAATTTTAGCAATGTATATATGCCAGACAGTGGTGGCGCACACATTGTGAGGCAGAGGCAGGCAGATCTCTGTGAGTTTGAGGCCAGCCTGGTCTACAGAGCAAGATCCAGGAGAGGCACCAAAGCTACACAGAGAAACCCTGTCTCAAAAAAAAGTATATGCATAAATAAAATACATGCAGTTGTGTTAGTCCTTTTCTTTAAACAGTTTTAGCTAAGTGTAAACAATAAGTACATTGATATCATTTTAATGTGCTTCACCTTAGCACAGACCTTAGACCTTATCATTATTAATGTTATAAATATTTAATCTACACTAGATACTATAAAGAGAATATGAGATTTAATGTAAGAAGATACAGGTGTTTTTTTTTTTTGTTGTTGTTGTTGTTTCCTATGCAGACTGTAATGGATCTGGGCATAATCTTATAATTCTTAAAAATAACCTGGAAAAGGACAGCTGTATTGTGAGCATGTAAGCAGAGGCTAACCACCTACACAAAAAATGTTTTTAGCACCTCATCCATCTTATACAGCGATGGGAGGCTGGGGGCAGAAGCATAAAAACAGAAGAAAGCATACACGTTGTTCAGGACCCTTGCTTCCTCCCCTTTCTCTACCTTGGCTCCATTACTGATCCTCCAGCAATATTTTCAGTGTGTTTTCTCTTCTCTGGCTTAACCTGTGTACAGTCATTAGCTTCATCTTGTGAGGCTTTTTACCTGTTTGCTTATCCACTAAACAAATGACAAATTCCCTAGCACAGCATTAAAAGACTCCATCGTCTGATTTTCAGCATCCTTTGCAGACTACTCTCCCAACATTCTCTTATAATGGCACAGTCTGTGTAAATATGATTGGCTTTTCTTTTTTGAATTTTAAAATGCATATTTTGATTTTTTTTCCTGTTAATGCAGTCATTTTTTTCTGGCTTTCCTGGAGTATATATGACAATAAATAACATATTTAAAGTATAAAATATGATGTTTTGATTATATATAACATTGGGAAATGATTGCTATAATCCAGCCAACTAGCAAAGGCACAATCTCATCTAGCTATGATATTTTGTGTGTGGAAAGTACTCACAATTGACTCTTGCCTTATTGTATATATGCTGTGCAATATAGTTAAGCACAGCCATGATGCTGTGCAGTTATATTCCGTAGATGAGTCCATGTACTCTACGACCACTGTTCTACTCTCCCCAACCCCTGACAACTATGGTTTTGCTCTCTGATTTTTAAGATTCATCATTTTTAGACTCCACAAAATGTAAGATTCTGTATTGTTTGCCTTTTGAGTATTATTTCTCCTTGGATATTAGGTCCACGCATTTTGTTTCAAATCATATATCTCCTTTTAGACATCTGTGGGTGTGTGCACGCGTGCAATGCATGTGTGTGTGTGTGTGTGTGTGTGTGTGTGTGTGTGTGTGTGTGTGTGTATAAATGTGTGCACCACAGTTTCCATTTCTATTTGGTGTCTCTGGAGTCTAAATGCTTTTATCCATTTCTCAGCTATTTTCACTGAAGTTTCAGTGAACATGGAAGTATTCCTTCCACTACATGCTCAGAACAGGACTGTTGCCTCATAATCTACTTCTGTTATTAGTGTTATTAGTGTTTCTCATCATGGCTATCCTCGTGTGCCTTTTGCTCAGGAATGCACTTGGGTTCCCTCTTCTCTACGCCATCACCAAAACCTGTTACGTACTTTTTGACTACAGCCATTTTAACAGGTGTGAGGGGGTGTGTCACTGTGATTTTGATTAGTATCCCTTGGTGGACTAGTGATCGTGAGCATTCCTTCCTGATTGTTGTGTGTTTAAAGCTCTTCTCTTCAGAGAATTCTACTCAGGTTTGTAGCCATTTTTCAATTTCGCTATTTTTCATTTTTCTATTGAGTTGTATGACACACACGCATTTACACAACACACACATATGTGTGTTGTACAAAATATTAACCCTTTATCATGTATGTACCTTACAACTATTTTCTCCTCTTCCATACATTGTGTTGTTGTAGATTATTTCTCTCATGATGCAGACATTTTTTACTTTAGCGCTAAATTCCCTTGTCTGCTTTTGAACCCATTGTTTATGTTTTTGTATCATATTAAAAATTGTTGCCCAGAACAATGAAAAGATATCTCCTATGAATTTTTTTCTACTAGTTCCAGGTCTCACATTTAATTATTTCCTCTGCTCTAAGTTGGATTTTACCAAGTCATTGGTAAAAGTTCAATATCATACTTTTCCAAGTGGATATTCAGTTTTCCTAATACCATTTATTGAAGGACTTAATTTCTTCTACATTTTTTTTTGGTCAGTGGCCAGCAGTGGCCTGATACATGAACTCTGATCTACTGGCCCACACAGGTTTGCTCCCATGCTAATACTATACTGCTGTGATTACTGAAGCATTCCTTATTTATAAGTCTGTGAGGCCTTAAGTTTTGTGCTTCCTAGTGTTGTTTTAACAGTTATACACACTGAAAATACTCAGTTGGATTGGATTTTGCGTTTTCATCTTATTCACGGTTCTCAGGTTGAAATGAAAAAGTTCATTTTAATACAGTCAAATTTAGTAATTTTTTTGTCTTAATTTTTGTCCTCTATTAAAAAAAAAAACCTTTTTTTAAAATCCTGATGATATATGTGCTTGCCTGTGTTTTCTTATAAATTTGAATACTTTAGTTTGGTTGCCTTATATCTAAAACTTACTGGGGGAAGAGTGAATAAAATTTTCTTTTATCCTATGCTTGTGACAGATTTCCAAAACATATATTAAATAGTAAGCCTTTTCTCTCCTGATTTGTATAGCTTTCTCTAGAGCACAGTAAACTGTCATATGAGTATAGACACACACACACACACACACACACACACACACACACACACACACACACACACAAATTTTGCTCCATTGGGTGTCTTTTATTGAATTCATATCATACTGCCTTAAATAGAGTACTTAATAAACCTTCTTCAGAATCTGGCAGAGCATATTTTCATATGCATGTGTAATTTGCTTGTGTGTTGTTATAAAATAGATTTACATTGTCCAATTATGTTTTGAGACAGTTTGTTTTGCTATGTAGGTCCAGATTGACCAGAAACTCATAGTTCTCCTGCCTCAACCTCCAAAGTGCTGAGATTACAAAAGAAAGCCATAAAGACTTCAAATGTCTTTTTTAATTAACACAAAATCATATATATATTTATAGATTACAGTATGATAACCATATATATATATATATATATATATATATATATATACATATATAATGTAAAATGATCAAGTCAGGGTAACTATCATTTCTATCTTCTTAAACATTTATCATTTGTTTGGATTGGAAAATCCAAACTCTCTTCTAGTTCTTTTTAAAACAAAAATTGCTGTATACTATGGCCACTCTACCGTGCTGTAGATACAAGAATGTATTATTATTCATCCTATGTGATTACATGCTGGCACTAATGATCAGTCTCCTCCTATCTTCTTTGTTCCTTGCTCTTCTTAACCACTAGGGATGACTATTCTACTCTGTACCCCCAAGAAATCAGCACTCTAACTTCCAACATATGAGTGTCAGTATATAGTATTTGTCTTCCTATATAAGACTTGTGATTTATTCTTTCCATGTTCCAGTCATTTTTAAAAAACTTAACCACTTCTTTTCCCATCTTTCAGTGTATATGGAACATGCCTGTGTTGCAGATTTTGTTGT